GAAACTCACAGAAATCTTTTGATCAAACGGATTTGTTTTTCTTCAACATGTTCATCTATTTTTACGCGTTTCTTTTATTCGTGAGCTTTTAAATATAGACTGTCCTCATATCAATATAAATAAGTATTAGGTTGGTAGAATAAAGAACCATGTTAGGAAACCTGGTCGGATTTTTATTTTATTTATTCCATAATTATGGAATATACACATACAGATTGGGTATCAGGGGTTTAAAAATGTCGATATATAATTTTACCGTTAGCTTGAACCCAAATGAATTATTTATGTAAAAATTTTATTTATATTTATATTTTTTTTTAATTTAATTGTACCGTTAGTTAAAATTTTTGCGTTCACAGTAACATATTTCTTTCTGAAATTTGCTTTCGTGTCAATATTTTTTTTACATAAATATTTTTATTACCACCATTGTTTTTATACTCTCGCAACTTGTTGCTACAGAGTATAATAGTTTTGTTCAACTAACGGTTGTTCGTATCACCTAAAACTAATCGAGTTAGATATAGGGTGATATATATATATAAATCATCAGGATGAAGAGACGAGTTGAAATCCGGGTGACTGTCTGTCCGTCCGTCCGTCTGTCCGTCCGTGCAAGCTGTAACTTGAGTAAAAATTGAGATATCTTCATGAAACGTGGTAGACATGTTTCTTGGTACCGTAAGACGGTTGGTATTGCAGATGGGCGTAATCGGACCACTGACACGCCCACAAAACTCCATTAATCAAAAACAACTAAGTTGCCATAACTAAGCTCCGCAATAAGATACAAGACTGTTATTTGATACAAAGTATCACATTAGGGAGGGGCATCTGAATTGAAAAATTTGTTTAAATGGTGGGCGTGGTCCCGCCCCTAATAGGTTTAATGTGCATATCTCTTAAACCGCTAAAGCTATCATAACCAAATTCACTGGGAGCAAATGAGCACCTCTATTGACGGTGTGAAAATGGGTGAAATTGGGTGATAAGCCCGCCCACTCCCCATATAACGGTACTGTTAAAAAATACTAAAAGCGCGATAAACCAAGCACTAAACACGCCAGAGACATTAAATTTTATCTCTGGGATGGTATGAGATGACTTTGTAGGAACTGCGTTCAAAATTAGTCAGTGGGCGTGGCACCGCCGACTTTTATGTGAAACCCCATTTCTTGGGATCTGCTTAACCGATTTCAACCAAATTCGGTGCATAACGTTCTTTTCATAACTCTATGTTATAGTGCGAAAATGGGCGAAATCGTACTACAAATACGCCTATTTCCCATATAACACCATTTTCCATTTCATCTGATTCTTTCACTTTCCACTATGCATATCAAGCAACTATGATTATATCGGGGTAAAACTTTGCGTGAATAATACGTTAAAAGTATGCCACCTTGTGACCAAAAATTGTCTAAATCGAACCAAAACTGTTCAAGCCCCTAAGTACTAAATATGTGGACCCCAGTGCCTACAGTTGACCTTCTACCGAAAATATCAGTCAATCCACAAAGAAATTTCAAACGAATATACCATTTGACTTTGCGAGAGTATAAAATGTTCGGTTACATCCGAACTTAGCCCTTCTTTACTTGTTAAATATATTTTTATATATATAATCCGATATTCCATTTTGAAAAACTCCACCGCTCACCCTAGTAGTACATACGCTTTTAGATCCCCTACCATTGCCACAATGCATGCTATCAATTCGTGCAGCTTTTAATTTATTACTTTGACTGTGTCCAAGGGACATTTGTGGCCCCAATTATGGTTGTTTATAACGTCATAATATTTAGTATAGAAAATAGCGTAGGAGAATAATAGTGAAAGTTTATGTCATAAGACTATGGGGGATTTAAAAGAGGTTCATATATATCAGCCGTATTTTTATACTGTTGCAACATGTTGCTACAGAGTATAATAGTTTTTTTCACCTAACGGTCGAGTCGAGTTAAATAAAGGGTTGCAGATGAGCAGAATGGGTCTATTGTCACGCCCACAAAATGCCGCAAACTGTCATTTGGTATGGAAAATCACAGTACCAAGGCACATCCGTGGACTAAAAATTTGTTTAAAGTGGGCATGGCCTTATCCTCTAATAGGTTTAATGCACATACATATGTATGTATCTCCCAAACCACTGAAGCCAAATCAACCAAATTTTTTTAGAGAAAATATATTGGTTATCCTCAATATCCAACAGTGTGAAAGTGCACGAAATTGGAAAATAATCCAGCACACTCCCCATTCAACGGTTTTGTTAAAAATTAATAAAAATGCGATAAATCAATAAATATGGTAAATGCGTCAGATACATGACATCGAGATGGTATGAGAGGGTTGTATTGAAGCCGGTGTCAAAATTGGATGATGACCGTGGCACCGCCTACCTTTAGGTGGAGTTACATATCTCCGAACCTACTCAACCGATTTCCAAATTTTGTACATCACATTATCCTGACATTCCTATCTTACAGTAAAAAAATGGCGAATTCCGGCCGCAACCACGCCTACTTTTCATATAACTCTTTTTTAAATTCCACCTTTCTTCACTTTCCAGTATAGGAAACAAGCACTAATGAATATATTGACACAAATATTTGCAGGAATAGTGCGTGTAAGGTGTGTCACCTTATGACTTAAAAATCGGACAGCTGATGACGCCAGATCCTATTGCGAACTTTTTACCGAAAATATTGGTCAAACTGTCAGATATGTTATAGAAATTCGGAAAGACTTTGACCCCGACCTTGATCCTTGCAAGATGCGAGAGTATAAAACATTCGGTTACACCCGAACATACCCCCTCTTTACTTGTTTAATTATAGTTTTGATTTACCTATATTCAGAATATACTATTCGTGCTGGCTAGAATATTGAAAATTTTGAACTTGTTAAAAAATTGGAGATAATCCTCAGTTTGCCGTTGTTGAAGTCTTCCTTTAGTTATGTCACTTTGTTATTTTATTAAAATCTTTGTATGTACTAGGCTGAATTTACTTCAAAAATATCGTGAAAGTGTATTTTGCATAATAATAATTTGGCCTAATTAGCGGAATCTATTTAGCTATATCCGTCTGTTTGTCCGTTGGACCGTCTTTTCGTCTGTCTGTCTGTATATACACGAACTATACCTTTCCGAGTTATCGATCTGAAATTTTGCACACATCTTTCTTCCCCCAAGAATCATCTGTTAGAAGCGTAATATCGGACTCCTAGCATATAGCTAGTTCTTGTAGGGAAAACATTTTTATTTGACAAGATATCTTCGCGAAACTTGAGATCGGATCTCTTACTGGACCTGTTTGAAGGGACCAAATGAGTCTTCCTTATATAATTACATACAATGTGTTAATTGACTAAATTAAGGGGCTATTTGGGGTGTCATAAAAACTTTTTTATTTGACAATATTATGGATTATTGACGAAGGCAACGCTACTATCTTAGATCGGATATCTTATTTAATGGACCTGTTTGGATAAAGCAGTAAATGAGTTTTCCTTATAAAATTGCTTAAAATTAGATAATTGATTAAATTAAGGGGCTGTTTGGACTAGCATAATAAGCTTAGGCTCAAATATAAGGACTTGAAATGCGAGAAAACTACATAAATCGGCAAAATTACAACACATATATATGTATATGAACATACAATAATACAATCTCTCTATTATATATAAAAGTTTTCTGCTGCTGTCGAGAATCAACTAACATAAGAGCGAGCTAGCTCGCGCTCGGCGGGAGGCGGACGTAGGCGAACGAGCGAAGCGATCGTCCCGGAGCGCAGCGGAGGTCGCCTAGTATTATATATTTTTTAACAAATAAAAAATCTTTAGTGGAAAACTTACAGGAGGAAATTCTTCTTTTCTATATTTTTATATTTTGTTTCATAATATTACATTTTTCGTTCCGTGAAACTATTTATAAAATATTTATTTATTAAAATTTAAAAAATAAACTTTATTTTTAAAACTTGTCATTGTCCAATTTGTACTATTTTAGTTTTATAAATTCTTATAGTTTTTCTCTTCCGCGACTTGTTTTCATATTCTATTTTCTTGTTCAAAATATCGTACTTTTGTTTTGATGTCATATATATCACTTCTATCACAATCAATGGTCTTTAGACTACCTAATTCATTTTTCATTATCAACTTGATAAATTATTTTTAAATTTCTAAAGCAAATGGAATTGAGACGGTCAACGGCAATTAAGTGAACGCGAAATTATAAATATACATATAGTTGAGCAGTTATAATAATATGTTTTAATTATTTGTTATAAAAAACTGTGTTTATTTTTATTTGAAATTCTATATATATTTTTAATAAATTTCGTACCTTTTATCATATTATTTCAAAGAAAACAATAGCCGTACTTAAAGTAATTCGTCAGATGATCACGTATAGCAAGTATTGCCTATTGCTTTTATATGTTTTGTTTTTCCCAAAGCTCGTTCTGCTCGTTTCTTGCAAATCACACTCATCAAACAAAGTCGTCAATCAACAGTCACACCCCTTTTTCTTTGCATTGATCTGTGCACTCAAGTACTCACCCACAATATGCGAGTGTGTATGGCTGTATGCGTATGTGAGCACACTGTCACATGCCGACAACCATACATGCATACATGCACCTTATATGTATTTTTCAAATATAAATAACAACTAACTGTGGAGGTCAATGTACATCAGTCACCACATCTTCGCTCTTCAGTTGATCGTTATCATCATATTTTTCTTCTTTCATGCGAATTTACCAAAAACCATACGAATTTGTGAATAAATATGCAAATTACTTGGTAATGATACACTTTTTGTTGTAGCTTATTTGTACACATTTGTTGTTTACTGAAAATGTGCATACGTACAAAAAAACATTTATATCTAAATTGTATTTGTACTTTTCTCTTTCTCTCTCTCTCTTCCCATTTTGTTCCATTTGTGCTCACCCATACTGCGATGTGTTGGGAACTGTGATGTTTTTCAGTGACTTACGACGCAACAGCAGCGGTAACGACGGCGACTGCGCGGTCGACGGCAACCTTTAACTGCTTTGTTACGTATACGTCGTGTATGTCAGTTGCGCTTCATCGCAAGAGCCGATGCAGAGCGTTGAGTAACGAACGCCAGATCCAAAGTGCGTTGTGCGCCTTAATATAAATTAACACATAATTAAACGGTGAATTAAAACTGAAACAAAAACCGAGTTGAAGCATAGGTTAGAACGCCATAAACCATTAGTTGTCGCCGGCATTAAAAAAAGTACAGAGACTCGATTAAAAAAATAAATAAAGTGATATTTAAGAGATGTGCGAAATATTGAATTATATTTTTTGAGGTTGTATACAGTGTCTGGACGCAAATGCTAGACATGCTAATTCAAATATTATAAAATAAGTACTAAAAGTTTTATAATATTAATGCCAAAATAAATACAAATATTTAATAAAATGAAATAATTTAATAAAATGAAATAACGCTATTTCGTATGTCAATTAATTAGGATAAACAATTTAAATAATTTAGTATTTATAATAATTTACTGTTTATTATAACAATAATAATCAATAATATATTTTATTTATTTAAATTGATTATCAGTCCATAAATTGATGATATAATTTATATTCATACGCATAAAGTTCATAAACCAATTTGCTACAATTCTCTCTAATCAAATTAAAAAAATAATTAATGGGTTCTGAGTATGATATTAGACAAAAATACAATAGATAATTGATATTTACGATGCAATAAAATTAAATAGTAATCGTGAAAATAAATGACACAATAAACAATTAATTAATTAAATAAGTGTGTCAAAATCAAATAAAAATATTTTAACTGTTCAACTTAATAATTGAAAACTAGTAATAATAATAAATTGATTGATTTGAAGCGAATGACAATTAAAAAATTAATTATAGTTAAATGTTTAAAATTTATTGAACTAAATATATTTAATTACCATAAATTAAGCGAATTTCAATTAATTGTTACAATTAAATACAATTATCTTGCTAAATCCTGAAATAAGATGAACACGTCAAAAATGTATTTCGTTGAAATTTAACCATTCCAAAAAAAAAAGTAATTTTGTTCGGTCAGTTTGTATGGCATGTATGTATATGTTATAATATACATCTATCGTAGTCCCATCTAAACAATTTCTTCAGATATCGTAGCGTTGTCATCGAAAATAATGCATACCAAATTTCGTGAAGATATCTCGTCATTAAAAAGGTTTCCATGCAAGGACATGAATTTGATCGTTCAGTTTGTATGGCAGCTATAGTGGTTCGATATCGGCGGTTCCGATAAATGAGCAGCTTCTTGGATAGACAAACGGGCGTATCGGGATCTTATACAGACAAACGGACGTAGAAGTGACAAAGAAGTGATATAATGGAACCTAAAAATGAATAAAATAAAATAAAATAAAAAAAGAATAATAAATTTAATTATGTGAAATATAGCAAAATAATATAAAATAAAAAAAAAACAATAAAAATAAAATAATACAATTATAAATTAAATACAATAAAATGAATATAAGATTTTAAAATAAATAAAGAATATATTAATATGTATAATGAATAAAGAAATAAAATTAATATGTATAACATAAATTCAAATATTATTAATAAAATTGCTTAAAACTACGAAAAACCCAGTTAATTAAAACAAAATAAAATAATCATGAAAAATACTGCAATAAAATTAAATAAAGACAAACAAAATTAAATATGTTCCAGTGCATAAAATTAAACCTAAAAAATTAATTACAATCAAAAAAGATATAAAATAATAATTAATATAATAAATCAAAAGAAACAAAATAAAAAAAATAATTAAATATAAAAATAAGTAATTGAAACAAATAAATGCAATAAAAAATAATTAAAAATGCTATAAATAAAATTGAATAATCATAAATCGGAAAGGCAGCCAGAATTGGTTTATTGCAGTTTATTTTTAATCAGCTTGTGTTGTCTAAGTTATTTTATTTGTTCTCGTCTGCATACGCTTTTGTGTTGTTATTTAATATGTTAACTGTAACTTGTAATATTTTTGCGCGTGCGACGGCGGTCAACGCGCACGCGTTAGCGGCCAGACAGGAATACAAACATACACATATACATATGTACATGTGTGCACATTTGCACAAAGCGGTGGCCTAAAAGCAAAGAGTAGATCAACAAACCGTTTGTGTTTTTATTGTTGTTGTTATTTTTTATTTTAATTTTAATAATTATACGAGTATATGTATTTCTTTAATTTTGCGAGACTATTGCCGCAATGCAAATTTAAACCTGATCGCGTGCAAACATTCGAATGCGGCATTCTCGCGGCAGATAACTGTGTCAAAAGTGCCGGATGTGTCGCGCATTTTGCAAGCGTGTTGGCGACAGCGGCGCGGTGGCAGCAGTAGCAATAAGAAAATAAAGAAAAATCATAAAAAAAGTTATAATTGCAAAAATAAATTAATCATTACTTCTTTAGTAGCAATTACGCAGCGTAAAAGGGAAAAAACAACGCAGACTGTAAAAAAGTTGTGAAAACTTGTAGCTTAATAGTGGTTAAGAGTGTTGAGCGGTAGCTTAAAAAGGTGCAAATAAAAAACGTTACAGTTATTAAGCGATTTTTATTGTCGCCATTGTTGACGCGTTCAACTTTGAGCGAAGCAAACAGCGAAAATTAATAAAAATAAAATAAACAAAAAACAATAACAATTAAACAATACACACATACACACCAATACACCTTGAACGCCTCATCCAAGTGCGTCAACCGTCCTCGGCCTTAAATGTTTATCAAAAATAATACGCTTTTGAATAGCAGCAGCGGTGTTGGCGTTGGCAACGGTAGCGTTAACAGTAGCGGCAGCGGCAGTGATCGACTTGGTATCGACAGCATTGTAGGTGTTGGTGGTGGTGAGAGTGTTGGCGCCAGCAGTGTGGCAGGCAGCATCAGCATAGCAAGCAGCAGCAGTGTCGGTGGCAGCAGCAACAGTATCGGCATTGGTAGCGGAGGCGGCGGCGGCGGCGGCGGTGGCAGCGCAGAGTTGCTCTATCCAAGCAGCAGCAGCAGCAGTAGTTCAAGCGCCAGCGGTCAGGCTAGCAGCGCTTGTAGTCACAGCGGCAGCAGCAGCAGTGTTAGCACAGGCAGCGCGGCACCCTTAAATCCGACACGACGCTGTGCCACACAGACTGACAACAACAATAGCGTCAGCGGCAAACGCGGCCTCAATTTGAGCTTATTACACAATCACAGTCCGAGCAACAGCAGCAGCTGCAGCAGCGGCAGCAATAATAATAACAACAACAACAATAATAACAGCAACAACAGCCACAATTACAACGGCAGCGGCGGTAGTGTTGGTGGCGGCCTTGGCTTATTAGTTGGTCAAAGTGTTGGTGGCATAGTTGGCAGCGGTCGACGCTTAATCGGCGGTCTTGGTGGCAGCATTTGGCGCTCAGCCACTTCGACCACATCCTCGTCATCAGCAGCAGCAGCCACTGCAGCAGCTACGCCAGCGACGAATTCGCACGCAACTCAGACCATCGCTAACGTCTCGGCGTCCGGTTCCGCGTCCGCATCCTCGAACTCGACTTCGACCTCATCGCCGACCGCCTCGTACGCCAATTCCACAGCCAGCAGCAGTGCTGTAGCATTGACCATCGCTGACGGCAGCGCTAATAATTTCTTTAGTAGCGGCAGCGCACCGGCAGCAGTGGCAGCGGCAGCAACAGCAGCAGCGATCGTTTATAGCGGCGCCGCCAATAGCAGGCACTTTCTGCGCGGTCATAAGAAAACTTTTTTATTTCACACGGTTAACAACAAAACAGCAACAACGGGTAACAGCGTGAGTGCAGTTGCTGGCGAGAGCAGCGCCATCATCAAAATGGATGAAGAGGACTCTATGGATGAGGAAGTGCCCGTAAATATTAATATTATTATTATATGCACTGTTGATAACCTTCACATAGGCTGATTTACATAAATATGCCATAAACATATTGGCTATACATATTTACATTGCGTCTCATACCTATATAAAAACATATACAAGTATTGTATGTGTTTACTTTTTGTCCTTGTTGACAGTGACTGTGGATTGTATGTTCTACATATATTTTATGGACTGTCTGTTATCATCCATTTTCTTGTTTGGAAACTCAAGCATTTTAATTTTCCATAGTATGTCAAAGCTTCGAGCTCTCAATTTACATCCAGTGGGATTTTACTAATATTAAATACAGAACGCGTTATGTTGTTGTTATAGATGTTGTGTTCGAAAAATAACGGGGATTTTCGTTTTGTGAAGTTTTTTTATTATTAATTTGTCTACATTAATGTTGTCGCCTTCAAAATGCTCCCCATTTGATATTGTGCACTTATTGGCAGCGCTTCTTCCAATCGTCGAAACATTTCTCAAACTCGATTTTTGGGATAACCTTAAGCGACCCGCTTTTAATGTCGTCTATGATTGTAGAACGACGGCCCTTAAAGATTCCCTTTATCTTTAGATTTAGGAAAAAGTCACTCTGAGCCATGTCTGGCGAATATGGAGACTGTGAGGCGCATAGTTACATTATTGTTTTTGGTCGGGAATTCACGAACAACTCATATTCGGATGTTGATTTCAACAGCTCGTCAGTGGTCTGAAGCGAGCTGGTAAATGATTTGCTTTGCTAAACTCCCCAAAAAAAAGTACGTAGATTTTAAATCAGGAGACTTTTATCTTTACACTTTCTCAATTTTAGGGTTTTTGCTCAATGACCCCATGAAATTTATAGCTTCAAAGCATTCGACACTTAATGCATCTCATGTAGATGCTTTGATTTCCTGCCGAAAGATTAATAACCTAAGTAGCCCGCACTATTTCCTGTAAAACAAATGTAAAACGGAGATACGTATATACAAGTTATAAGGGAATTAAGCAGTAGAGAGACCAATTTTAAATTGGAAACCTTAGTTTATGCGATTAAAATTCGTTTACATTATAAAGGCATACAAGCATAGCAGTATATTCCTACGTTATAATTGAGTTCTACTCTGTTGCAAAAAAGGGCAAAGGGCTCCGTTATCCAGTTCAACATAAGAGATATCATAGTGCTATACTCACGTGCTATTCTTCTTATATATTTTTATATCAGTATATTTAATGTATGCCCCTTGTTTGTTCGATTCGCCACTCTCCAACATTACAATATCTACAGCTAAGGAGTAAATGCTAACGGCAGTATACTCGTATATCGCCAAAATACCAAATAGTAGTAGCAGGAGATTTTATATTCGCCGCGGCTGAGAATGAAAATAAGATGAAATTCTAAACCCGGGATAACAGCACCTAGTCTCTTTTCATATGTTCTCAAAGAAATATTTTTTGCATTCTTTCAATTCAGGTGAGCTGAGTAAAAATGTGGTGCATGCTAAGAGGCCCAACCGAGATATTAGAGAAAATATCATTCGGATTTTTAAAAACCCTGTGTGCAATATTTGACATCGGTCATATTTATGAATTCCAATCTGGTCATTTTCTATCCGAAGATGGTTTATATCTTTAATGATTTTTTATTTTGTCGCCTAAAATCGAGAAATCTTGTCCTCTCTACCTCAGATAATTTTGTGATTTCAAATTTCTTGTCCTTGCCTTTAGAAAACCTGTAACTGAGATCGTTTGCTATTTTTTTTTAAACTCCAAGTATGATTGTACGAGTAAAAAGTTAAACGATATTTTTCAAAACTACAAAAATTAAATATTTTGAAAATTTGGAAAGTATAATTTCCCAGAACCGAAATAAAAATGAACTTTAGAAGCTCTTGTAGGAATGCTTGTAAGAGTTAAAAGATGGAGATGACGTTCAAAGTATTATGGTCTCGTAAATTTTGAAAAGTTGAATTCAATGTTAACTCGGAGTAAGATAGACAAAATAATTTTGAATGTAGTCCTATTAAATTAGCATCGCAAAATATTCCCGCAATACTTTTGAGGAATGTTGCCAATTTGACAGTTCTTGGCTGAATAAAAGTTTGAGACCCTTCTGGTTAAGTAGTTCTGACTGTCATGGGAAATATGATAAGATTTAATCTTAAACCTCTCAAAACTCCAGTAACAAATAAAAGAGATTAATAGATGGAATATTTCCAGTGTTGCTAATACTTTACGAAAATTTTGCCCGAGTTGAGTGTTCTTTTGTCACTCGCTTAAAACCATAATTGTGATTGAAATAGATTAATCTTTATACATAAATACCTATTTTGCTTCTTTAGTATTTATTTGTGTAAAACTATCTCTGTTTAGTTGCAATGGCTCTATACGCCGGTAATTAGAGCTCTTAATGACATTGTACTCCGCAATTGATATTAGCCGACATCTTTTCATAGGCCATTTTGATATCTATAAATTACCAGTGAACTAACAGTTAGCCACAATTAATGTCACACTACCTTAACTTAAGTGCCAACAAGTCAAACAATTAATGTCCATTTTTTTGTATTTTTTAACAACTCTAGGCTTTAACTAAAATCCAGTAAATTACTTCCTTAAAGAGTTAGTAACGACCCGATTGTGCATACAATTATAATTAAATGAATTACCATACAAATGACTAAGGTGAAACGAGTCAGCGGGCGCGGCAGCAGCTTTGCTTTAACTGCCTATGGCGACCCCTCAAACCATTCCCACGAGCGCTGAATACGAAGGGGCGTGTGGAAAACCTGTTGTTGCCTTGCAGCGCACTGTGGTTCGCCAGCAATAACGGTGAATGTGCTATAAATCAATAAGCGCTCGTAAATTGCGGTTATTTTGCATAAATAACAGATAAATACACACACACACATACATAGTATACGGGCAGGCGCTTAGTACGTGTGCCGCTGCAACAACAACAATTTGCGTGTGTAAAATGTGTAAAAAGCAGCAGGCAAATAAAATGCGATAAAAATGAAGTGAATAACACAAAGCACGCGACTACAATAAGTTAATGACTTTAATTGTAAATCAATATGTGGGTGAACAAACAAAGAATTAGAAAGACTTTTACACTTGCATGGATAAAAAACGCTGAAATTTCCGTAAGGGGTGGGCAAACCAAAATTATGACAAATAAAAAATATTGTTTGCCTCAACCAAACTTAGCCTTAACCCTTGAAAGCGCCAACCTTTCACATTCCAAACAAGGGATGTGTGACAACTTTGCTGGAGGAAGCAAACACATTCTGGCATTTAGACACAACAAATTTAAACATTATATTTTAACTACCTTATTTATGTGCATTTTTGAGGGTTGGGTTAACAAGTGGTAGGAAGTGAGCGCCTGTTTCACATACTCTGTTGGCGTTGCGCCCATTTGTGGCAACAGTAAATCCATGGGCAGTGTTTGTTAGTCATTGGGGCACCATGGCGATTTCCTACAGACAAGCAGACACCAGTAACGATTAATTGGTTTGCCATTATATTTGTGTTAGTTCGCTTTGATTTCGTATTTGTTGCATGCAGATAACTGTAAGCACTACCTCATGGTTTTATACCCTGAACAGGGCACATTAAGTTTGCCACCAAATTTGTAACACCCAGAAGTAAACGTCGGAGACCTTTTAAAATGTATACATTGGTGATCAGCATGATGAACTGAGTTGATGTAGCCATGCCCGTCCGTCCGTCTGTCTGTATGTATATATACAAACTAGTCCCTCAGTTTTTAAGCTATCGATCTGTAATTTTGCATCTATCCTTTTCTCACTAAGAAGCTGCTCGTTTGTCGGAACGGCCGATATCGAAACCCTATAGCATATATCTGCTATACAAACTGAACAATCGGAATGAAGTGCTTGTATGGAAAAATCTTTAATTTGACGAGGTATCTTCACGAAATTTGGCATGGATTATTATTTAAGGCAATAGTCCAATCTCCGAAGAAATCGTATAGATCGGATGACTATAGCATATAGCTGTCATATTAACTGAACGATCGGAGTAAAGTGCTTGCATGGAAAACTTTTTTATTTGACGAGATATCTTGTCGAAATTAGGCACGAGTTATTATTTAAGGCAACTATGTATTCTCGCCAGAAATTGTTCAGATCAGAACACTATATCATATAGCTGCCATACAAATTGAACGATCGGAATCAAGTTCTTGTAAGGAGCCGTTGTATATTTGAAGGGTATTATAGCTCCGGTGTAACCGAAGTTAACGTTTTTTCTTATTTTTTATTACAATTTTTTTTACTTTATTAGTGGTTAATTTTTTTTTGTTGACGAGAAGAATTTACTAAGTGCACCTTGCGATATTTTGAGATGTGAGTATTAACCAATCGTAACGGTTTTTTTTCTAATTTTTTTGTTATTTTATAATTTTATTCTCCTAGAATTCCAATAATATATTTGTATTTTCATGATACAGAGGGCAACCCTATAGAGTTAGAAATCCCCTCGTTGGTTTGACATTGCTTTGGTCCGGTCTTGCTTTTAACTGCTCTATCAACATGAGGCCAAGCATTGTCATGATAGAAAATTATAGTGTCTAGTCGCAAATTCCGGGCGTTTTACGGCTATCGCTCGCTTCAATTTGATGAGTTGTTTTCGGTAGCGTTTCGCATTAATAGTTTTACACAATTTTAGATGCTCATTCATAATATAGCAGGCGCTTCTGATCTCACTAAATACAGAGCATTACTTTGGCGTCATGGGGTTTCGGCTATGCCGTTGACTTGACACAGTCACAATCCAATGCAACTTCTTTTTTGCACTAAAATTATTTGCTTTTAAACGTTTTGAGTGACTCCAAAAGCTTCTGCGAGCTTTTCTTGTGTTTGGCAAACAATCTTCATCGACTAATGCTTGCAGCTCCTCATCTTCAAACGTTTTTGGCCTCCACTAAAATACAACGTTTTTCGGCTAAGCTTTTCTTCATATTAAAGTAATGAAGAAGA